CCTTGAGCAGCCTCAGCCCACCCTCTCTCCACCCCCCTGCTCCACCCACCTGGCCTGGGGGCTCCCTGGCAGAAGGAGCAGCTCTGGAGGATGGCAGCTGTGTCCCTGGAGAATGGGGCCCTGGACAGGAAGGACAGTACCTCACACTGGAGAGCTGGTGAGACAGGCATGACTGGGTGGGGGGGGGAAGCAGGGACTGGCACCCGTGCGCATCCTGTCCCATTCCCCCAGGACCCCTAGGTAGCGGGTTTTCCTTCTTCAGTATAACTCCTGGCAGAAAGTCGAGAAGTTATTCTTCTCCCAGCCCCTCTGCCTTTTCTCAAAAATTCAGCAGGGGATATCCACGACCCTGCTCTTGCCATGAAAACATGAAGGCCGTCATGAAGAAAGAGATTTTCCTCTTTGTGTGCTGTAGCACACATTTCCTGCTTATTTTGCTTCCACAAATTGATTTTTTCTAAAGCAAATTAGGACAGCTCTGCCAGAAAGCTTAACAATGAGGCTAACAGTAAACTAGACACAAAAAAATCATGGACTAGAGAAAAATATAATAGAACTTAAATATATTTAATAAGCATAATATAGCCATGAACATGGATCTGAGTTTCCTGGTCACCAGGGTAAAAAGAGAAATAAGATCAGTTGTTGGAAAGAAGCAAGCATATATAAGAATATTTTGTGTTCAGAGCTTTGTGTGACAGACATTGAGTGTTGTGAAAGACAGTCATTTATTCCATTTTTATAGAAATTCAGAAGCAGATGAAGTGAGGCTGTTGGCTCACAAGACTTACGAGAAAGCAAAGGGTACAATATTCAAGTGCGATCCAGTGAAGACAATGTGACTCAGTATGGATTTCTGACTATCTTCCTTGCCCAGGTGTTCAAGGACTTGTTGGTGTCCTCCTTGGTACTGTAGACCAGCATTTCTCAAACATTAATGTGTAGGCAGTCTCCAGCGGGTTTTGTTAAAATGTGGTTCTTCTATAGGCAGTCTGGGGTGGGCCTGATAGTGCATTTCCACAAATCGCCCAGTGGGCACGTGCACCCCATTTGGGGCAAGGGGCCAATGCCCAGACTTCTCTGGTTGCCATCTGCCCCAGATGAAGGCAGTGTACTGCAACCACAGAACAGGACCTGGATCCTGCGGCTGGATCCACGGAATGCTCCCCAGAGGCTCTGGGCCAGCTTCCTACACTCCTTCCGGTTCTCCTCCCCCACCGCCCATGGTCTTGTCACAAGTTGAGACATGTGCTCTTACACAAAGATGTATTAAGTAGCTACTACGTGCCAGGCAGCTCCCTTAAGGAATAAGTTGCTTCTGTCACCCCAACCCTCCGTTCTTTATCCACCTCTGTCCTTCAGCACCTGCTTTAGAACCTTCTCCCTGTGCCAGGCACAGGGAGATCCACAGTATCCCCTGTGGATACAAAGCTTCTCATTCCACTGAGCTCAGAGAGCTTTTCCTCTTGAGGAGTTCATGTTTCAGCAGAAGGCTGAAAAAGCCAGGTTTTGGGGTGCAGGCAGATTTGGTACAGGGGTGAGACTCCCAATGCCCTGCAAGTTACACCTTATAATATTATGCAATATTGACTTGAAATTATGTGCCATGTGAGAACAGCCTGTAGTCCCAGGCCAAACACACTTTAGCCAGCTCACCTCTGCATTTGGTGTGTCTCCCTCACAGTCCTTCCTATTATGCCTGACTCAACTCTGGGAGTTTCTGACAAGGCTTTCCCACTGGGTCATCATGTTGGTAAGGCAACCACTGCATATGTCGAAATCATTCTCAGGATCCTCCATCATGAATGAAGCCTTGTTTCCCTCCACACATGGGGGAGCAGCTCCTTGAACCCAGAGGGCAAGTGGATTCTCACAGTCTGGGCTCTGTGTGTGTGTGTGTGTGGTGGGCAAGGTGGGGGTGCGGAGGGGAGGAGCAGCCCCTTCCCTGGGACCACAGTCCAGCCAGGACTAGTTCCAGGTCACTGGCCCCGGGCCAGGGCTGTCAGAGTGCATTGGGCACACTGCTGCTCATGCCCATCTCGTTTTAATAGTCAATTAGAGCCTTCATTTTGTGAAATGGATGTGTTCCATCCCAGTCTATCAATGTAGGGACAAGCCAAGAGGTTGAGAGCAAGCTATGTCCCTCTCCTCTGGCCCAAGTGGAAAATGAATCTAGATTTTTCTCCTGAACACTCTTGTCCGCTTAACCCTGTCTTCGGGAAAAAGGCAGTCTCAGGAGGCTGACACCCAGAGGCTCTGCAGAGAGCAGGCAGTGTATGCACTGGGCATCATGCTCGCTCTGGGCCAGACAAGAGCGGAGACAGAGTAGGTGGGAGCATGGAGGAAGCCTCCCCGAGATGCAGAGATGCTGCAGGAGGTGAAGAGGATGAGAATGGGGCTGATTCATTCATTCAGCAGCCATGCCAGGCAGCACTCGGCAGTGGGAATACAGAGGTGATTGAGACAGAGGAAACTCCGACCCCGCAGGAGCTCACATTTCTTTCTGTGGGAGCTGATAGTAAATAATCAAACAAACAGAAAATGTATGTTTTGGAGCATGTTGAGAGATAAGGCCATGTAAAAAATATATATTAACAAAATAAGGTACACGGATGACAAGGGGGAACGATCAAGTTGAGTCTGGAGATGGTATTTAAGCAAGGATCTGAAGGGAGGGAGGGAAGGCCGTGGGGACATGGGCCTCCGGACAGAGGGAGCGACAAGGGCCATGAGCTGCCCGAGGATACTAACGATACTAACGTATTCGAGGAAAGGGCTGGGCATGAGCGGAGAGAAGGACAGGAGAGGAGTGGGGCCATGTGGGATACTGGGAGGACTCTGTTTTGACTCTGAGCAATCTGGAGCCAGGAAGGCTTCTAGTGGTGGAGTGACATGAGCTGCAGAATGTCTTAAAAGGATGGCTCTGACTGTTCTGCCCTTGGTCTGACCAGAGACATGAATCTGAATAATTTCGCTTCCTTCTGCATCCTTCTGCCCCACCCTGCTCCAACACAACACAATGAAATTATTCAACCAAAGCCCCCATGCACTACCCTCCCTCCTGGATCAGAGATTGGGCCCTAAAGGTATCAGGAAACACTTGTTCAGCTCACACCCACACCAGATCCTGTGCCTGTGGGGCAAGCTTACATCCCAGTCCAGAGGGAAACAAAGCCAAACATCAAAAGCCAAGGCTGTGAGTGATGCTCTGTCCATCAAGATGCTGGTGCCTCACCAGGGCCTTTACCTGCCTGCTTCCCGGTGCCTTTCAGGCCTTCGATGTCCTCTCAGAGTTCATGTTCCCCTTAGGACACTCCTCTGTAGACTCCTGCCAGTCAGCTATCAAAGCTCTCTCCCTCCAACTCATGGGGAGCCCCACAACCAGGCCCACCAGGTCTCCCTGGAAGGATGATGGAAGGATCCAAGGTCCCCTTCAAAATGTTCCTCCGTTTCCTAAGTTGCTCTCCGTGTGCCACCCTCTGGAGCGATCCCCTCAGAGATCCCCATGGACCAGAGCAGATATTTAAAGAGCACCTATGTGCGCAGGGTAACTTGCAGGGGCTAGGAACACTGTCTCTCCAGTGCTTATAACTCACTGCAGAGGCAAGCTGAAACCCAGGTCAGGGGCCAGACATTGAGCCCTTGTGTCCTTAGCATGCAAACGGCTGGCATTTACTCTTGGGCTCTCCAAGTTCTGAATGCAGAAGATCCTTTGAGAACTGCACAACAGTTCAGAGGGTTTTGTCTTGGAGCAGGGTGGGGCAGAAGGAAGAGAGAGGACCTGGCCCTCTGGAACTGGCAGGGCAGTGTTGGAGAAGGAGGATATTTTCAGCAGGAGGAAACCTAAGGAAGTGCTCAAGGGGTAGTCTCAGTGTGTGAGGGCAAAGGAGGGACCCTTCACAGCAGCATTCCCAAGCAGTGTTTGCCTTTCACCCTTTCTGTACTGTTGGCATCCTGCTGAGGGACTGCGCCCCAGAGCCCCAGCCTCCTGCCTCATGCCTCTCAATTCAGATAACTTGCCTGACTGAGGCTTATCTCCCCCAGCACAAGCCAACTCTCTCACTGGGGCTGGTAGAACACGCCCCCTCCCCCTCCCAATATTCTAGAAAGAGTCTGAGGGATCAGGTAACTCCCAGTCAGCATCCCAGGAGATGAGTAATATTGGCCAGGCTCAGCCATCAGAGTCCCTGTAAATCTGGGGAAGAGCTGTCAGCTGCACTCTGATGTGGAGTCTTGGGTGAATGCACAGACCTCTACAGAGGTACCCAAGAGACAGTGTCTCCTTGTGCCCACTTCACTGCTGTGCTGGCTGCCATGGTGGGAGGGAAGGTCAGCATCAAAGCTGCAGGAGACATTTTGGAGTCCAGGAAGTTTAGCCCAGGAGGGTCCCAGACCAACAGCAGCTCCTGGAAGCCCGAGGGCCTTGACCTACTGGGAAGGGTCTCTCCTAAGGGTGGATCAGGGCATGGACTGCGGGACTACAAGACCTGGGTACCGCCTCGTTGAAGAGGGGCGTTTCCTGCCAGCTTCCACCGCACGACAGAAAGGTGTTGATCCCGCTGCACAGGCAGCGATAATCCCCAGGTTGTAAGATGGCTGTGGAGTTGATGTCGCTCAGTGTGAGGCAGCAGGATCAGAAGTCACTCTGACCTGCAAGCCCTTCTCATTGCTGGTTAGGAGGAGTTCCCTGAGTTCTGCACACTTTGCCAGGGGGTTGTGCGGCCGCCATCAGAAAGCTGCGCTGGGGAGCGGGGCGTGCAGCTGGCTCCGAACTTCAGATCCCGGGTGGAGGGTCGCGGGTCACCCCCGCGCTGCGCATCCAGGCGGGGACCCAGGACCCTGCGGCCCCCAGATTGCGCCCTGGAGGAGGTGGCAGAGCCGGATAAGCGGCGGCGGGCTGGCTGGCGGCCACCTCCCCGGCAGGTCAGCCCCGCGGCCGGGCGGGGCCCAGGGGGAGGAGGAGCCTCGGGGCGGAGCCTCCGACTCCGCCGCGGACCTTCGGCCGCAGCTGCTGCTCGGAGCCGAGGGCTGGAGAGGTGAGTGACCCCTGCTTCGGGTCGCCGCGGGGTGGCGGGCCGTGCCCAGCCCCCGACTCCCCGCCTGGGAAGCCGCCTGGGCGCACCTGGCGCCCTCGCCGCGCGGAGGCCGGGAGCCGCCACGTTTCTGCGGGTGACCCCGGTAGCGGGGAGCGAGCCACGTGCGCCCCGCTGCAGTGAACCCCGGGCCTAGACCCCGGCGGGTGCTCGCTCCTTCCTGCCCCGGGGACGCAAGCCGCGTGCGCCGCGCCGGGTGGGCAGGGCCGGGTGCGCCCGGTGCCCCGGGCGGGACTTGGGGAGTCGGCGTCCCGACCCAGGTGCAGCCTTGCGCGCTCCGCCCAGCGGAGCCCACGGAGCCCACGAGTCCCACCGCCCAGCAGCTGTGACCCCGCGACTTCGGGGTGGCCAGGAGGTGGGCGGGATCTTCTCCCCACGCGTCACAGACCGCCCAGGGTAGGCGGCTGGGGCGGGGGCTCCCGACCTTGGTGAGGAGGAAACTGGGCTGGTCGGTGCCCGCAGAGTTCTTGCCTGGCAAATACACCTCTTCTGCTCATTTCCCTGAAATTAGGGGGCAGGCTGCCCAGAGAGGTGTGGTTGGAATTTTGGTTACTTTGGGTAAAGAGGAGGGTATGATGAGCTAATGTGTCATTGAGGGGCCGGGAGGTGGGATTTGCAGAGAAGATTCGGCCTGGTCCTGTTGGCATCGTGGCAGAGGGCACTAAGAGGCCTCCCGTGTGCCCAGGGCTCCCGAGGGAAGTATTTCTTTCCTCCCAATGCAGTGATGATATAACTAACAGCAGACATTTATTGTGCATCTATCTATTCCAGGCAGCTTGTTTTGCACACAGTATCTTGGCCAATCCTCAGAACAAGAAGGCACTGTTGTTTATCTTGTTAAAGATGGGGAAACTGAGTCTCGGAAAGCATGCTTTTGCAAGGATGCGCATAGCAAGTTGCAAAAGCAAGATTCATACCGAGGGTTAGCTGACTTGGGAGCCCAGAGGAGCTTGTGAGTGAGGGCGACAGTGACAGGCCATGTTCTCAGGATCCTGGCAAACTAAAGAGAGTGATGCTGAGAGCCAGAATGTCCAAGACCAAAGAGTCTCACCTGGGTGTGCCACTGTTTGTTAGAAGTACAGATGCCCAGGGCCCACCCATAGCTGACAGAATCCAAGTACAAAGTAAATGCTGCTGACCCAGCTAGCAGCACCTGGAAAGCTGAGACTGTCTTACTCCACTCCATGCCCACGTCTATGCCCTGTGACAGTGAGGCCAGCCTGGAGCACCTGCTTAATCAATGTCTGATGGATGAAAGGACTTAGTGGGGTAGGAGTGTCACTGGGCAGAGGATGGGATTGGAGGTTTGGAACCATTGACAGGTGACCTCAACCAGGCAGCCTGGAAGGAAGGCCTGCAGTTACCGTGGGGTGACACTCCTCTGAGAGCCAGCAGGGAGTTTAGGGCAGACCACCTGTTCGCTAAGGGGTTAACAACCGGTCCCAAGTCCGCTGAGCTCTTCAAGACTTGGTCTACTCATACCAAAACCACAGGTGTGCCCTCTCCAGCCTAGAAATGCCCAACATGTAAATTCCTCCCCGCAAGTGTTTCCCATCCTTTCTCCATGGCCTTTCCTTCCTAGGTCTTGTCAGGGACTGGAATATGGGGCAGAGCTTCAGATAGTTAGAAAGTGAAAGCGAATGACTAAAGTCCAAAGCTGCACACCTGCCCAGCCAGAGGAAAGCAGCCAAAGCTGATTATTGTAGGGGAGAGCAACTGGCTTTGGAGTCAGACTCAAGTAGGAATCTCAGCTTTTTATCAGGTGACCATGTCCAAGTCTTCAGCTCTCTGTACCTGCTTCTTCATCTATAAAACCTTGCTAAGGGCTTGGCATAGACTATCCTTATAAAACAGGGACAGTGACGTCTCTCTAGAGGATTAAATATGTGAAGTGCTGAGTCCTAGGGGTGCAATAAATACCAGATCCCTCCCCCATCCTTGGGTTTGTGAATTAATCAGTAGGTGACTTTCCAAGCTTATTCCTCTTATAGTGTAAACCCTTTAGTTCACTAGAGAAGGAAGGCCCAGAGAGTGGGAGAGCTGATCTTGGGCCCAGACCTCAAGGCTTCCTGCTCATTATGCTGGCCCATGCCTCCCAGCCTGGAAGGACAAGTTGATGCTTCCAAGATCATTCCCTATCCAGCCTGCAGAGGAAATCTTGTGGGCTGGGGGTGGTTTTCAGGAAATTTGGGGCAGGGAGGGAAGCAGGGCGTGCAGTGATGTCCTGTCTCCCTCTGCCTCAGCTGAGCCTGGATTCACCCTTTCCTCCCCTCCCCATCATGCATAATGATCAGGTTCCCCTGGCCCGACCTCAGTAAGTTAGGTACTCCATGAAATTGCTTTCTAGCATCTGGACAAGGAACACACCTCTTGGTTTAAAACAAGGAAATTTGCCAGTTTAAGCAGTTATTGAAATCTAAGGCCAAGCTGGCTCCTTTCCTCCCTCCTGGGGATTGGAGGGTATGTGCCTCTTTTTCTGCTCCTGTCTTACCCTCAACACCACCATCTTAATCAGGAGGGTGTGGAGATTGCAGAATTTGCAGAGGGGAAGGCAAGGCATGGGGACAGGGCACTCCAGGTGGTTTTAAAAAGTTCAGCTTCAGAAATGCCACACCCTTGTGTCTGCCTCCTGCAACTGGGCCCAGCTACCTGCTTATAACACACCTGATCTCTTATAATACACCTCTGCAGGTCAGCCCCTACATGCCATGGGCATCAGTTTCCTTCCATCTGAAATAATAATTCTGTCATCACTGAACATCCCATGTACCAGACCCTAGGCCAAGCATGTAATATGTGTGAGCACACTTGAACCCCTGACTCCCTGAAGTTAATAATGTTATTTCTCAACCATGTAGCTTTCCCAAGAAAGCTTGAGGCTCCTAACCTCTAACTATATCAGCTTGTCCAAATCTGCCTTATCATTTATTCATTCAACATTTACTGAGCACTAACTTGGCGCCAGGCACTCTAGACCTCGCTGGGGCCCCATTTCTGGCAGGATGAGTGTTGGTTGTCATTTATCACCCCACAAAAACCCATACCCTCTGCTTATTTCTAAATAAAAGTGAAGCAGGTTGGCATGGTTGAGGCCCAGGTCCTACAGTTAATGGGAGCTAAGATGCAAAGCCAGAGATGTCTCTACACTGTGCTTGCTGGTCAGTCATAAACTCCTGCATTGTCACTTCAGTGTAAGGTGGAATGTTTCCCTCCTCCTCAGGTGTCAACATCGTTGCTGGAGCATTACCTGATCCTCACCTCTTCCCCATCAGCCTGTCTTCATAAATCACCACATTCACTAGCAGAACATGCTAGCAGAACGGGTGAGCCCTGACTGTCCCATAGTCAGGCAGTAACTTTGTCCCAGCCCCTGCTTCTGCTAAATGAGAGCCAGATGGGATCTCAGCAAACACCAGGTTTTTAAGCCTTCTGGAGCTATCAGATTAGGAGATGAAACTGTAAAAAATACAGATCCAAGATGACAAAATCAATTACAGGTCAATGGAAAGGAATTTGGGGATTGGCAAATGGGCCCACTAAGCTCTCCATGACGGAGTAGGCCGCCTCCACGCCGTGTTCACACACATTCACGTTCCTGTGCAGACAGCAGTTTCCTAGAGCCATGCTGGCATCTGTGATGGAGTGACTCCTCCTATTACTGAAGCTTCTGAGGCTTGTGGTATGGCTGTCAGGCTGTGGGGAGGGTGAGCTTATGATTTTACTGCTGGGCACAGGAAGGTGAGGGTCTCTCTGAAGGTGAATCACTCAGCATGCACATCAGAGTCGCCAGAGTCGAGGTGGCTGCAGAAATGAGAGGCCCCAGGAGCTGGAAGGGAAGGAAGCATGCCAGTGCTCGGCCAGGCAACCAGGATGGTAATGGCAGACTGGGAGCTTCTGTCTGGAAAAGTTCAACCCACTGGTATTCCTGGACTGAGGGCTGGATGGAGTTGGAGAACTGACAGTGTTCTGCTATCAGCGCTGGTGTGGCTGCCTTTGGTCCTCCTGTAACCTTTGCTACGACTTGGCTTGAATATTTGATCTAGCCTGGCTGTGTGTGGTGTGGAATAGGGGGTTCCTGGCACTTGGGGATTGCTCAGGGCACAGCTAAGGACTCAGTGAGAACACCAGGATGAGAGGTCACAGCTGACCTGGATCTGGCTAAGTACCCAGGGGTGCTCTTGCAGCTCCTGTCTGCGCACACTAGGAGGGCTTGCTTTTGGGAGGAAGTGGTTTGCTGGCAGTGTAGCTTCTCCAAGAGGATCCAGACCACCAGGGAGAACAGGCTGAATCTGGGGATCTGGGTCTGGTGTTGCTCAGAAATCTGTGGACTGAACTCCAGGTGACTTGGTGTTCACTAACTTTTGAGATCACAGCCTACACCGTGATGGCCCCACAAACCTCCACTGGCCTCTCAGCAAGCAGAGTGCGTTGTGCGTGTTCTGTGGATACACAGAAGTAGAGAGCAAGACGCAGGTTGCTGCCCTCAGGGAGCATACCACCTAATTGGGAAGTTTACCAGCCATAAAGTTACCAGGCAAAGGGGGGAGAAAGGTCCAGGGTGGTACGCAACAGGTGCCCACAGCAGAGCCCAGGAAAAGTGTACAAGAGCAGTTCTGAGATGCGGGTTTGGGGATTTTTCACATTCACTGATTTACATAATCGTCAGAGCAGAGAAGGAAAGTAACCAGCCTTCGGGCACACAGCTGGGTCATGGCAGCACCGATATTCACACCCAGACCTGTCTAATACAGCGGCCTCCTGGATTCAGAGCAGGGAGAGATGGATAGTTGTAGGCAGTGGGCAGCTGGGAGGCACCTTATGTGCCCAAGGGCTCAGACCAGATCTTTGGGGAGGGGGATTTGAAGCCAGGAGAATATCAAGACTTAAGGTGGAAGTAAGAGCGAGGCACCAGGGCCAGAAAGAGGGGTTTTAGAAGGTAAGAA